ATCGGCTTTCCAGAGCTTGTTTAATCTCCTTTGAAATCCAATTGCTGAAATTAGATTTTTCATTCAATTGGTAAAGGTGAAAACCTAATGCCAGATGTTAGGTGTGAACATACATTCCTACATGTCACCAGCAATAGCCCTAAATAAGCCATGTTTTCAAAACCATGTATCCAGAACCTTCTAACAATTACACATCTTCCAAACTCAGGAATTCCTCTTTGCCAAAATTTATCTCATGAAAACAATCCGAGGCCAGGTGTGATGCCACCTTCCTTTAATCCTAGCACTCAGGAGGCAGAGGCAGTCAGATCTCAGTGAGTTCCAGGCCAGCCTGGTCTGCAGCCAGGGCTACAAAGTGAGATCCTGTCTCAAAAAAAAAGTAAATAAATCAATAAATTGAATTAAAGAAGAAAATGAAAAACAGAGTGGGAAAAGAAAACAACAATAAATTTGGAAAAATCTAAGTGCTGAATGACCACTGCAGTTGATTTATAATTATGGAAAACCAGTATCAAATTAATCAAATAACAGAGGAATGGCCTCACATAAATAGTCAGGCCTGCCTTGACCATTAAGGAGGCCACAGTGATGGGCAACGGGGTAAAGACAGCAGTTCTGCAAGGTGTAGAACTGTCTGGAAGTCAACCTGTGCTGGTTATCACTCACAAGCAGTGGTCAAAACTACATGGCAACTATAAACACACTGAAATCAGTGGTAACGGGGCTGGAGGGATGGCTCAGCGGTTATTAGTCTATACTGCTTTTGCCTGAGTTCAGTTTCCAGCACCCACATCAGGCAGCTCACTACCAACCTGTAACTCCAGCTCAGGGACTCTTATGCCCTCTTCTGGCCTCTGCAGGTTTACACACACACACACACACACACACACACACACACACACACACACACAGAATTTAAATGAAAAAGGTGATCATCATCACATGGGTTTACAGAAACAAGGATAACAAGAATCTCCACCACTTTCTAGGGACAGCGATCTTGAGAAATCTGCTGGTTTTATATTGTATCAAAGCAGACGGAAACACTGAAAATGTTAATGGGCTATGTCTCTTTGTCTTGGGGGCAAATGGGGAGAGTTAAATAAGCCTTTTGGTAAAGGAGAAGTTGTCTGTAAAGAGCCAAACATTACTTTAAAATGAAAAAACATTTTAAAGCCTTCAAAAATGGCACACGTCACAGAAAAGAAGAAAACAGGATGGGGACACACTGGGGGGAAAAAGCAGTGAGTAGGAGGGGGCAGGAGGGTTATGGGGTGAATTGATCATACTACACTGTATACGTGTAGGAATTTTTCAGAATTTAAAAACATTTTTAAATGGGTACTTTAAAAATGATAATGTAAATCATTCATGCAAATTTAATAAAAATGGAAATGACTCAAGTCAATAAAGGTGACGGTGCACACTCAGAGGGAAGGGATGTGGGTTACGCATTAGGTTAAAAGCTTCTGGATACACACTTATTCGTCAACATAGAATCACTTTTGGAAATTAACAAGGAAAGTGTTAGGGTTGGGGGGGGTATTCTGTTTTGCTTTAATTGACAAATGCCCAGTGCTTGCGAACTTAAAGCGAGTGCCACTAGTATCAGGGGTGGCAAAGAAATTTCTTTGGACATCTTAACTTTGCTCAGTGTGCCTTGTCTGCCTGCTCAGGGTCCCGAGGAGAAAATTCCTGGTGCTTCCCTTAGGTTCACTGGAACCATAGAGAAGAAGACTGCATTGTAACTCTATCATGGACCCTGGATGCCGAGACCCCCCCCTTTCCTGGGGGCTGTGTATGTCACAGCTCCTCCAGAAACAAGTCCAGCAGAATCACGTGACTGTGCCCACGTGTGCCTCATTTCGCTTAGTGTTTTTTCACTTTTTTTTTTTAAAGGAAATGTATGTTGAAAAACTACAGTGCTTTCTTTTCTGTTAATCAAACTTAGCTGATTATTCATTTTAAAATCCCATAAAAAATGAATGAAAAAAAAAAGAACTTAGAACTTGCGGTGTTATTTTCTACACCTAGATTAAGATCTGGTGGTGGGGGCATTTTGAGAGTGGCCAGTTTACAATACTGTAGTTTGAGGTTACTAATACAACTGTTCAAAAAATTTTAAATCTTACGTAAAAACATTCAAAAGTAGCAGCTACTGGTGTCAACAAACAGGGACTTTAGGCCATTCAAGAGTTAGGGAATGGGTGAAGAACTGCTACCTCATTTACTAAAAAGGTGAGGTTTAATCAGCCTGAGCTGTGACCTCTGCCATCTTGGGTCCAAAACCTACACTCTGTGTCACAGGCTCCTCCAGCTGTGAACACAGCTGCACTTAACATCTGGGGCTATTAAGTTCACTGGCCTTTAATATGCTTAACAGTGTTTGCTTAGTAAGGAAACTAATAAAAGCATATTAAAACTAAGAGTTCTAAGAAACTACTTCAATTGATTCATAGTTTTTTCCAGGCCTGACTTCCAGACCCATAATTTCCTAAGATGAATCCATAGACAAAATTCTTTAAGGATGTGAGGAGGGCTTAGGGGGAACTGCGGGCTTCGTAAGCTGTTCCTTGGGGAAAACAAGTTGCACAACTTTAGCAAGGGGAATATGCTATGAGTCTTTCCCAAAACCCTCAAGTCACACATGCCTTGGGCCTAGAAATTTCATAGCTGAGAAATGACCCTTAGCAAACAAAACCCAGTATAAGGAAAATACCAAGGGACAACCATTAAAGGAGAGAAGAACTATCACAACAACTGCATTTAAGGAAATATATTACAACCAACCTACTTCCAAGCCTAGAGGGCTGCCGAAAGACATCAGGATATACACACACAACCAAGCAATCAGGCAGTCCTGAGAAACACTACCTCCACATGTATGTATGCCCATGGAAAGATGCCCATGATACGTGAGGCTCAAACTCACAGCCTTTGAAGCAGTGTTTCATTTCATAAAAGTAAACTTTTTAAAAAAACTGTGAATCTACATCCAGGAAAAAAAATGTACTGACAAATTTTAGCAGGAAGCTTATAGGGTGATACACAAAAATTCAAAGAAAAAAATTATTTCTTGTGTTCTTTGAGAGAGATGTATTAATAACACCATCGCACAAAAACTATTAAGTGTATTTCTACATTTCCAAGTCTGTTAAAGACCTGCTGCGTACCCTCAAAGTGAGAGCTTGTCCAGTCAGCCAAGTTAGGGAGAGGATGGACGAAGTGCGAACTGGGTTAGTTCTGGTGTCCAACAGAATAGCACAAAAAAAAAGTGAGTCAGCTGAAAGGCAGTCAACTGGGGCATCCACCATGAAGGAAACTTATTTAAGTTGCAAAATATGGAAGCAATGGGTTGTACGTACCCCACGTGCCCATAGCAAACAACAATCATTAAAACATCCACACCGTCACCACATGGGACAGGAAGGAAACATGGAAAGCAATGAAGATGCTCTAGTGTTACTTCTTGGAAACTTCCTAGGCAAGGCTTATCAACAAACCTTAAACCTCAGCCTAAGGATGTCAAGATGCCGTGCCCAGGCCCCCCTTAATTCAGATGTCTGAAGTCTAGGCTCAGTGATGGAAATACTAGCAGAGGAGCAAACACTGCTGGCCCAAGAAAAACCTTCTAATGGGAGACAAGGAGGACTGGGTGAGTTCAGAGAGCTCACATCTATATATCTGATGATGTTACGGTGGATGATAGTGTCAACCTCAAAAAACATGTTGAACAGAAACCACAAAGCAGGCAATCCCAGCAGGGAGAGCTCGCACTTCTCAAGCAAGGAGTCAGATTCTGGACTCCAAGCGCATGTGTCTGGGAAGACCACCATTCAAGTCAGAGATGCAAAGATTTTAGTAATCTGAATGACGTGGTGCGCAAGAGATTTTTAGCAATCGGGGAGCTCAACCATTAAAGAGTCAAGGGTATCTAATACAGAATTAAGATTTTAGTTGAAACCAGCCATTCAGAGGGGGCTAGCATGGAAGAAACAGATAATGAATGCTTTAAAAAGTCTGAGTATAAGGAGGAGAAAATAAACCACAAACCCTCAAAAACTACCAAATAAACTCTACTGATAAGCTTTATAGTCTGCAAGAGACCTGCAAACAAGTGTTTCTCAAAGAAAGACTTTGTGGGTTCATATCTCTAGAGAATGAGAGAAATGGCTGGAAGAAGCCACCAAAGAAAGCTCTCTGAACCTGAAAGCACAGATGTTCCCACCTCGTCTAATCTGGAATGGAGCTGGGAACACTCCGTAGGAAGATATCTGCAGACATCATAACACTAGACCTTCTTCACAGAGGGAACCGCAGAGCCCTAACACCTGAGTTCATCCCTACACCACCGCCAACAGCCTTGGTCAAAACAGCTGACCACTTGGAGCTTCAACTTTGCTTTGTGTGTACAATGGAATGCACATCAGCCCTAGACCCCTAAGCAAGCACTTCTTGATGGATCAGAGAGGATAACATTTTACATATGTAAGGAACTCTGCAAACATGTCACTGATACTATCAGCTTTGTGAGTTCATTAATCTAGGGTAGGACTTGGAAAATCTTTTTACATTGCTGATCAACCTTATTTGATAAAAGTACTATACATTAACTCTTCTATAAGAACTCAGGCTACAGACCTTGAGTCTGAAATCCCACTGCTAATTAAAACATTTTCATTAGGATGTCAAAATGAGGATTACCTACTCCACTAACACTACCGAATAAGAGCAAAACCTACTAACTTGTTTCTTATGCTACAAAAATACACTTTTAAAGGTTTTTCCTAGAGGAGTATGGATGCATGTGAAATTCATAAACTTTATCCTGTAGCCTTATAATCATACACTATTTCTGACCACACCCTGCTGAATTTTCTAATCACCAGAATCTCATGGAGGGAGGCTGAGGGCCATCTCAAATTAAGGACATGGAAAGGTCTCTCTAATGGATAAACCCGAGAAAGTTAAGAAAAGTGTGATCCCTGAGGGTTTCAACACTAACTCCCCCCAACTGGTATCTCTGGAGGATGGAGCTGGTAGTGCTGAGTGAGGTGGGAGGGGTGGCTGAAACACTTCCCACAGAGCTGGCACTGGTAAGGAATATCATGAGCATGAATCCGGTAGTGCTGGACCAGATAGGAGCTCTGACTGAAAGCTCGGCCACAGTCACAGCACTGGCAAGCTCTCTCCCCAACATAGCCATGCTTCCGCTGATAGCGAATGACATGTGTCCTATGGTGCATCGCAGGGGAAAGAGACTTTGCCAACTCATGGGCTCTGAGATGCTGAGAGAGATGCACTTCGTGGATGAAAGCTTTGCCACACTCAAAACATTCATAGAACTTGGCCTGACCCTTACTTGTCACCGAACCAGGGATTTGTGCAAGCTTGGGGGAAGGTTTCTTGCCCACATTGCACCCCTTGGGCCTCTCACCATAATGACTGAGATGTCTGTTGAGGTGGGGCTTGAGGAAGAAGGCTGCGTCACAATGGGAACATTTAAAGGGCCGTATTCCTAAGTGGAATGACTCGTGCCTCCTGAGGTCTGCTTGGGTCTTAAAGACTCTCTGACACACACTGCATCTGATGGGTTCCATCGGCTCTAAAGATTTGCATGATGGGCTTATCTGGTCCTTCTCGGGTCTGGGAAAGCCATAATACGCTGATACATTATGCAGACAGCATTGCACAGAAGTAGAAGTCTAACCTTTATGTGTTTTGACAGGTAGGAGCTGTGTTATTTCCATTTGTCATTGCTGAAAGAAATGGCTTAAGAGAAGAAGCATAAGGAAGGAAGGGTTAATTCTGCCTCATATCTTGAAGGGATTCAGGCCATCATGGCAGGGAAGATGTGGCAGCAGGAACACAAGGGGGTGGGTCGCATTGCATCCGCAGTCAGCCATCAGAGAGACATGAATGCTGGTCGTGTGCTTTGCCCTGTTTCTCTCTGTCATTCAGTCCATGTGATGGTGCCTCCCATAGTTAGCATCAGTCATCTAATTGTCTGGAAACCCCACCACATACACACCCAGAGTCGTACATCTTAGGTGACTCCAAATCTAGTCAGACTGACTGTGGACTTTAACTACCACAGGTGCCTGTTACTTGCTGTAACTCAGCTCTACCTCCATCTCTTGACTTACCATCCTCCTTCCTGCCTTCCACTTCATCCTTTGGTTTATGGTCCTGCTTTATTCTGGTTCCCTATGTTCTATTATACTTTTTTCTTTTTTTGTCTTTTTGAGACAGGGTCTCCCTGTAGCCCCAGCTGTCTTGGAACTCACTATGGAGACCAGGCTGGCCTCGAACTCACAAAGATCCACCTGCCTCTGCCTCCCGAGTGCTGGGATTAAAGATGTGCGCCACCACGCCTGGCCGACCACTCCTATTTTAAAAACCTATAGCTGTACCTGTAAAGGGCTTCAACTGTCTAGTCAGCTTGAGAAATGCTTTAAAATATGGGCCCTGTGTGTTTCCTTCCTTCTCTGGCACTTCAGAGCCTTTCCTGTGCTCCTCCACTCCTGAAGATGGATGGCCCGGACTGCAGTCCTTCTCAAGCCTCCATCTGAGAACACCTGCCACCAAAGTCCTGCAGGACCACTGAGGAAACAGTGCACTGAGGGTGTCCATCTCCTCCTGCTCAGACGGAAGCCAAAGGATTCCAACTGTTTTCTCAGATCTGAGCCTCTCACTGTATTCAATCTTCTCTAACAACTGATTCATTCAATTCAACACCAAATACCTATTTCATGTCACAACCAGATGGGCATCAATGTGTAGAAAAAAGACTCAGTCAGACTGACGTGACTGCAGGAGCAGAGGCAGGGGGCCGACCCCATGGAGACACTGGAGAGGAGGATGGCAGCCGGGCTCAGGAACAGACAAAAAGAAGTGACAGGATGAGACAACAGCCTGAGCCAAGGTATCGACTGGAATACCAGGTCCTGAGAACCTAGAAGCAGCCAACGGGCCGGAATGGGAAAAAATTTAATCTTCTGCTAAAGGTTTGGACTTATTTTTGTTTAGGGTGAAAAGGTGATGGTCAGGAGTTTGTGCTTCATGGAGGCATTACCCTGGGTGGGGAAGAAGCCACGAAGTCCGAGAGTGCAGTGAGGGACGGCATCCTTTCAGATGCTCAGCATTCACAACCAGAGTGTGGTGGAAACATCCGAACCAGAAGCAGCACGGGGAGAACAGGGCACAGCTGGGAAGACCCCAGAAGACCAGCCCGCCACAGGGAGAGGACCCATTAGCAGACAGGCTCCGAGGACTCCAGAGTGGGAAACCAGGAGTGCTCAGTCGTTACGGCACTGCGGTATCCTCATCTCGACATGGTCCATTACGGCAGCAGATTCTGCCACTTCTACTTTCAAGGAAAGTACCTCAGACTAGACCACTGAGCTGTGGAGCCCCGGCCTCTGCCACTAGGCTGGTGCTCTTCCCATGTAGCTGAGGCTAGCTTTAAACTCCAGATCCTCCTGCCTCAGTCTCCTGAGAGCTGGGGCTAGCGGTATGTGCAGCACCATGTCCAGTCCACGTGGATCTTTCTAGAATATGATGCCCAACAGAACTCCCTGCCATGATAAAAATGGTCCATCATTTTGCTAATCCAACGTGTGACCAAAGGACTCTATGTTCAAACTGTACATAATTTGAGCTAGCTGGTATTCAAGTGCCTGCATGTGGCTAGGGACTGCCATACTGCACAGCGCAGTTCTGAAGTGTTCACACTACTTCCTCATACCTCTGCTCACAGATGGCCGGGGAAAGATAGAGGAGAGAGAGGAGAGCAGAGCACAGGCCTGAGGGCTGGCATGAGGAAGAGGCATCACCCTAAAGACGTGTACTCATGTCTGTTACAGACGTCATACTAATCCCAGCAAAAAGGAGAAAGACATAAATGAATGGAGGAGATGGAACTCTGCAGAAGCAGGAACCCTGGAGTGGGCAGTGGAGGAACACCCGCTGCCAAGATGGGCTTCCGAAAGGACACGAGGACAAGCAGTCAGGAGACTGAGCCTCGGGGGGAGCAACGCTGGCTGTCCTCCTGGCTGGGAGGGTTTTGAGAGATGCTGCTGACTAGCAACTCCCAGACCTCCTCCTGACGGATGGGCCAGTCGCTCGCTGCCTTCCTGCGATCCCATCCTCTTAGGCTGTCCCCTCACCACTCACTTTTAATCGTTATTCTGTTGCTGTCTTCCTCCATTGCTTGTGGCTCCTCCTCTTCCAGGTGTGAAATAATCTCAGGCCTAGGGAACTGGTTTCCTGGGGAAGAAGGAAGACTCATAACTTAGAGGTTCAGCAACTCCCACATTTGAATGATAAAACATTGTAGAAATGCTCACAGATGTGAAACGAGGCCTATGTCCGCCCTGTCAAGCACTGTTTCTCAAAGACTTTAAACTCCATCCCTCCCTGCCACACATACTGCAGACACCTTACCAGGTGTGGAGCTATTTTGTCCCACCTGTGGGAGAGAGGGAGGGACCAATGGCATCTAGCTAGTGGAGGTGGGGTTGTGGCTCAACATCCAGCAACGCACAAACAGCCTATACAGTAAAATAATGATTGAGGCAGAGGAGGGGCTGGAGAGATGGCGCGTAAGTTAAGGATACATAATTCTCTTCCAGGGGATCTGAGGACATGGGAGTTCAGTTCCCAGCAAACAAGTCAGATGGCTCACTACTACCTACAACTGCAGCTTCATGGGCATCTGAAGGCCTCTTCTGACCTCTGTGGGCACCCAAATATACTGCAAGTTAGTGTGGATAATCTGATGGAGTTACTCAAAAGGTGAGCATTGCAGTTCTTTGTCCTCCTATGATAAACCCCATCATCTGTTCCTCCTCACGCTTAGCTCTGTGGTTCCCAAATCCCAGCCCTTTATACACCACCTAACTATGAACTTATTATTTGCATCTTCTCACTATAATACAGAATCCAATCCAATAGGACTTGACATTTATTTTCCATTTGTAATGCTATCCCAAGACCTGGAATTGTGTGACCACTGACTAATGAATGTCATTACATTTGTTTATCTAGGTAATATCTGCAGTAGCATTTAATATTTGGTATTTTCTGTGGACAAGCTTTCAATTTCTAGGCATGTCTTTTACATGGACCCTTTCCATCAGCCCTACAGAAGGGAAACAAGGCCACTTGTAAAAAAGAAAAGAGTTAATGTAACAACAGACACGAAGGTAACTAAGGTTGTGCCGTACAATAAACCTGTGGTGTGAATGCTGCATGTGTCCTTGTGTGTTTGCCTGTGTGCATACATGCATACATTTAAATCTGGCAGTCACTGTTTGGCATGTGGGGCTGTGTTCCTCTGAAGGTATGTCTTATGCTCTAGGTATCTGTCCTATGAACAGAAGATATTTCCACACACAGCTTCCAGGGAAGGAGCTGAGAACTGGGGCTGCTAAACAGCTGAATCTGAATTAATCACTGCATGCCTGTGACTGTGTGGGCATACACACATGTGCACCCAAACTCCTAAGTGTCTTTTCCTGGAGTGTCCGTCCTCAGGTGTAGTAACATCCCAGAACATCTGCTCCCACCATCTTCTTTAAGGTTTTATTTTTTTATTTTCATTTATGTGCATAGGTATGTGTTTGTGTGTAGATACAAGTGGATACAAGTGCTCAGGAAGGCCAGCAGAAGGCGTCACATCCCCTGGAACTGGAATTTCAGGCGTTTGAGCTACCTGACCTGGAGGCAGGGAAACGATCTTGGGTCCTTTGCAGGAGAAGCACTCGCTCTTAACTGCTGAGCCGTTTCTCAGCCCCAAGCCTTCATTTTTAAGCTAACAGATAAAGATGTAAGAGGGAGGCTTTCTGCCTTCTAGTGCTGTGTTTCCTCTAATTTGAGGCATATCCTTGGTAGAGGAATCTGGAAGTCTGGGGATGCTGATGAGACTCGACAGAAAGGGAGAAGGCTCACCACACCTCTTCCCTGAGGTTACAAAAACAGTAAACAAGGTGTGGACAAGGTTCTTCCAAGAGGCAGGGAACTCCAGTGAGGCCGTTTCTGCAAGACACTGCACATGCTGGGGTTGGGCATTTTGGAGGTGCACTGCTCAAGGCATCCATACTCGTGCAATTCCTGAAGCAGGCTGCTCTGAGTACTCCCGATAAAGTCCTGGGTCACTGAGCTGGACCCGGACAGAAAGGTTTCTCTGCTCTGCCTCTGCCCTGCCTGGAGTGAGGGGACATTTTCGGGCATCTTCCCAGGAAAAACACAAACGCTATTCATGTATATTAAAGAATAGACCGTTTCATGGGGCTGGAGAGATGGCTCAGAGGTTAAACACTGACTGTTCTCGCAGAAGACCCAGGTTCGAATCCCAGCACTCACATGACAGCTAACAACTGTCCATAACTCCAGTCCCAGGGGATCTGACGGCATCTTCTGACCTCTGTGGGCACTGCACGACACAGGTGTACTTACCTACATGCAGGCAATGCAGTCATACACATAAAATAAAAGTAATAAATTAAATATTTTTAAAAAGAATAGGCAGTTTCTGCTGCTGCAAGCATGGAGTTTGGCCAGCTTGAATAACGCAGTGGTAGTTCTGAAATTTCAGAATTCCTTGGCAATATAGATTCAATTGATTCCCAAGATGCCGTGAGGCAAAGGCAGGTGGATCTTTTGTGAGTTCTAGGCCAGGCTTTCTGCATCTGCATAGCGGTTCCAGGCCAGCCAGGATCCATAGTGAGACCCAGCCTCAGAAAACCAAAAAACAAGAAAAAAGAAAGCAATACTAAATTTGGAAAAAAAACTAAGTAACAAATAGTCATTACAGTTCATTTCTAATTATGAAAAACCAAAGTCAAACATCCAAGCAGTAGAATGCTTCTCACATATAGAAAGTCGGATCTTTCTTAAACCACTAAAGAGGCCACAGTGATGGTAAAGAGGGTGATGACAGCACTTCTGCAACGTGTAAAATTGGCTTAAAGAACTACCTATGCTATTGCCCATAAGGAATGGTGCAACCACATGACAACTGTAAGTACATGAAAATAGGTGATCAACAGGTCTGGAGAGACAGCTCAGCAGTTAAGAGGCTGTACTGTTTTGACCCCAGTTCAGATCCCAGCACCCTCATCAGACGCCTCTCCACCTGAGACTCCAGGTCTAGGTGCTCCGACCCCCTCTTCCGGCCTCTGCAGGCACTGCATACATACTCCCCATACACATACACATAATTTAAATAAAACAATGACAATCACACAGGCTTAAAAAAGGAGAACAGGGTCCAGAGAGCTGACTCAGCAGCTGAGAGCACTGGCTGCTTGTGCAGAGGACCTGGGTTTGGTTCTCAGCACTGACATGTCAGCTAACAACCATCCATAACTCTAATTCCAGGGCATCTGATGTTTTATTCTGACTCCCATGGGCACTGCATGACACAGGTGCACTTTCATACATGCAGGAAAAACACTCATATACATAAATAAAAATAATAAAATATTTTTGAAAAGGAGAACAGGAACAGATCTCAGAAAAGAGATCTGTTCCCATCACCCTTTTGTATACCACTTCCCAGAAACAATTACCCTCATAAATCTGGTATTTATTATTATTCCAAAGTACACAGAAACATTGGTGGCGGTCATGGTATACTTGTCTCTGGGAAACAGAGGGAAAAGCTAGATATGTCTTTTGGTAAGGCAGAAGTTGTCGGTAATTAGCCAAATATTACTTTAAAATGAAAAAGAAAAATAATCCTTCAAAAGTGAATAGTGCACACAAAAATGACATGGAAATAGGAGGGGCCTAGTGGGGAAGGTGAAGAGGGTCAGCAGGAGCGGGAGGGGACAGGAGATGGTAACAGAGTGGGGGTGTGATCACAGCACACTGTACAGCCATCAATTTGAGAAAATAAAAATATCTTAAAATGTGTACTTTAAAAAGTGGTAATGAATTCACACAAATTCTTCTCAGGAAGATTTTGAACCTGGCACAGGGATGTCAAAAAGCCACACCCAGAGCCTTCACGGATGAGCCACGCCCCCTTAATTCAGATGTCTGAAGACTGTGCTAGGGTGATGGACATCAAACAAGAGAAACAGGCATGGCTGGCCAGAGAAAGCTCTAGCACTGGAGGTAAGGAGGCTTGTGTGGACGAATGTTTGAGATTTCACAACTCACAGTGGGTAATGCGTTCACAACTCACAGTGGATAATGTAGTGAGCCTCAAAACATAGGCTCATGGGGAAAGACAAACCAGTCAGTCACTATGGCAACAGTGCACTCTTCCCAGGCACAGAATCCGGCTCTGAGACTCTAGATACATGTGTCTGTGTGGACCACATTCAACGGAGGGATGGAAAAATTTCAGTACCTTAAACCATGTGGTATGAAAGAGATTTTTCAGTGCAACTGGGGGCTTGACCGTTAAATACTACCAAACGAAGGTAGTATAGAATTAAGGTTTTAGTTGAAATGGGCTATGTTCCTTGTCATAGTGCAAGAAGTAGAAAAAAAAATGTTTAAAAGTTGGAGAAAAACAACTAGACACCATCAGAAAACTACAAAATGACGTCCACTTGACGTATAACAGCTTCATGATCTACAAGAGAAATTCCAAGTGTTTCACCAAGAACTACTTCCCTGAGGTCATGTCTCTAATCCTAGAAAATGAGACAAACGGTGGAAGAACATCATGCTAAGAAAGTTCTCTGAACCCCTGAAACCACAGATGTCGTCACCTCCTCTAACATGAAGTCAAGCTGGGAACGCTCAGTGGGAAGATGCGTGCAGACACTAAATCTCTAGACCTCCTTAGTACCACAGAGACTTAACACTCGAGTTCAGTGTTAAATCACTTAACCTTGGTTTATGAGTAAAATGGAATGCCTTTCAGCATGAGACAACCTGGGGGAGCATTCTTGATGGACAACATTTTATACACTGTGACATACTCTGCAAATATATCACTAATACTGTCAGCTTTGAGTTCATTCATCTAAATAAAAACCCCAATATCTTTTTATACTGCTGATCTGTCTCATGTAATAAACACACTGAATACTAACTCTTTTATAAGAACTCAGGCTACAGACTATGAGTTTGGTACTCCACTGCCAATGATAACTGTTTCATCATGATGCCAAAATCATGATTATCCATCCCATGAACAAAAACAAGGGCAAAATCTATGCATCAAGAATACCCTTTGGAAGGGTTATGCCTAGGAGACATGTGAAATACACTGCTTCATAGAGTTCATTCACTACCCCTGTAATCATGCACTACTTCTCACCACACCATTCTGAATTTTCTAATTAACAGGGTGTTTCATGAGGGAGGGTGAGGGCCGTCTCAAATTAAGGGCATTAAAAGATCTCTCTAATGGATAAACCCAAGCAGGTTAAGAAAAGTGTTTTAATACTAACTGCCCCCAACTGGTATCTCTGGAGGATGGAGCTGGTAGTGCCGAGTGAGGTGGGAGGGGGGGGGCTGAAACACTTCCCACAGAGCTGGCATTGGTAAGGAATATCATGAGGATGAACGCCGCAGTGCTGGACAAGATAGGAGCTCTGACTGAAAGCTCGGCCACAGTCACAGCACTGGCAGGCTCTCTCCCCCACATAGCCATGCTTCCGCTGATAGCAAATGACATGTGTCCTATGGTGCATCGCAGGGGAAAGAGACTTTGCCAACTCATGGGCTCTGAGATGCTGAGAGAGATGCACCTTGTGGATGAAAGCTTTGCCACACTCAAGACATTCATAGAACTCAGCCTGACCCTTGTCACCCACCCAGGGGCTTTTACAAGCTGGGGGATGGTTTCTTACCTACATTACACCCCTCAGGCCTCTCACCATGATGACTCTTGAGATGTCTGTTGAGGTGGGGCTTGAGGAAGAAGGCTTCGTCACAATGGGAACATTTAAAGGGCCGTATTCCTAAGTGGAATGACTCGTGCATCCTGAGGCCTGCTTGGGTCTTAAAGACTCTCTGACACACACTGCATCTGATGGGTTCCATCGGCTCAGGGCTGGCGCTGGTTCCAGGAGTCGAGGTATCCAGGGGCTCCATTCCCTGAGGACTGGAGAGATCAGAGCGCTCCTCATCTTCCTCACCGCCAAGGCCTCCTTCCTCAGGGAAGGTCCCGGTGTCACTCTCTGTCACAGGACTGAGGACCTGCTCTTCCTGGTTGTCCTGCTGTGGTTCCAATGGATCGTCAGAAGATTCTCCTACAAAGACACAGCAGAAGTTACCTACTGGGAGACCATCCCTCCCTGTGCTATGGCTGGTTCTTCTACAGGGCACTCTGCTCTGGGGTCAGTTCTTGGCTTTCAGGGATCTTCTCCAGATACAGAAATACCATAAAGTCTCCTCATCTTCTTACTCAGAAACACACATCATTACGAGAAACAAATGGAAACTGACCCACATGACCTTTTGCAGGTTAAGGTCTGGAAACGAATGTAAAGAATAAAGATCACAAAAGAATGGGCAAGAAAATAAGCAACAAATTGTGCACAGAATCCATGTTGGGGCTCTATGCTGAAGAAAACACCACTGACACAGAACAGAATGAAGACCACAATGCACACGTCACCATTCACCAGCATTTCCAAAACCGTGCTCAGTCCATCACCCGTATGTGGAAAGCACAGTAGCTGTGACCCAAGGGGGGCTCTATTTTCTAGTCAGCTTAAGAAATACTATGCAATATGGGTCGGCCATGTGTACCTCATTCCCGTAGGGCTTTCTGTGTCTTTGCTGTGCCCCTGCACCCCTAAAGAGGGAAGGCACGGATTGCAGCCCTTGTCAGGCATCCATCTGAGAACACCTGCTACCACAGTCCTGCAGGACCACTGAGGGACCAGGCAATGAGGATGTCAACCTCCCCCCGCTCAGAAGAAAGCAGCAGAATTCCAAGTCTGCTCAGCTCTTGGTCTCTTGTTTTTTTTAATCTCTACTACCTGACAACTGATTTTGTTCAAGTCAACATTGAATGCAGATTTCATGAAAGGCATTGTGTCCCAACCAGAGGATTATCAAAAAGTCTGAAGAGAAGTCGTGCATAGTGGTGCACACTTTTAGACCCCATCACTTGCTTGGAAGAGGCAGGTGGACTTCTGTGAGAGCCAGGTCAGTCTGGTCTCCATAGTAAGTGCAAGGCCAGCTGCAGATACAGGGAGACTCTATATAAAACAACAGGAAAAACACTAAGAAGTAAACAAAAAATCCAAAATCTAGGAAAAGACTCCACTCAGACTAAAATGACTTCAGGACAGAGGTAGATGAACTGAGCCACTGGATACCTTCGTGGAGATGTCAGCTGGGCTCAGTAAGAAGAGAAAAATGGGGGTATGAGATTAGCCCAGAGCCTGAGCAAAGACACAGGCTGAAGAAATACACAACCCCGGGAAGCCAGAAGCAGAGGCTGGTCTTGAAATCAAGATCCTCCTGTCTCAGTCTTCTGAGAACTGAGGTTAGATTTATGTGCAGCACCATGTCCTGTCCACATGGATCTTTCTAGAACAGTATGACCAACAGTACTCCCTGCCATGATACAAAGGATCTATCACTTTGCTAATCCAATAGTGGTGAATCCCATGTAACCATCGAATATGTAAAATGTATGACCAAAGAATTACATGATAAAACTGTACATAATTTGGGTTAGTTGGTATTTAAGTACCTGCATGTGGTCACCATATGCAGGGCATGGATCTGAAGTGTTAACACTGCTTCCTCTAGGAAACAGAAACACCTTTTTCTTGGCCTGGGAGGGTTTTGAGGGATGCCACTGACTAGCAACTTCCGGACCTCCTCCTGATGGATGGGCCAGTCGCTTGCTGCCTTCCTGCGATCCCATCCTCTTAGGCTGTCCCCTCACCACTCACTTTTAATGGTTACTCTGTTGTCTTCCTCCATTGCTTGTGGCTCCTCCTCTTCCAGGTGTGAAATAATCTCAGGCCTAGGGAACTGGTTTCCTAGGGAAGGAGGAAGACTCATAACTTAGAGGTTCAGTAACTCCCAAGTTTGTGTGTTAAAGACTTTAACACAAAATTGTAAAAACTCACAGAAGTGAAATGAGGCCTATGTCCAGCCTGTAAATTACTGTTTCTCAATAACTTTAAACCCCATCCCTCCCTGCCACACACACTGCAGGCACCTCACCAGGTATGGCATTATCTTGTCCCAGCTGTGGGAGAGAGGAGGTACCATTGACACCTAGCTAGTGGAGGCAGAGATGTTGCTTAACATCTAGTAATGCGCAAACAGCCTATACAAGAAAATAATTATTGGGGTGGGGAGAGAAGGGGTGCTGGAGAGACGGCTCACAGGTTAACAAAATGCTCTTCCAGGTTTCAGTGCCCAGCAAGTCAGAAGGCTCACTACTACCTGTAACTCCAGTTCCAGTGGCATCTGAGGTCCTGTTCTGGCGTACATTAGTGGGGATAATCTGATGGAGTTACTCAAAAGGTGAGGACTGCAATGCTTTGTCCTCCTCTGATAAACAGCATTTTCCCATTGGTTTCTCCCTGTCCCTTAGTACCTTGATTCCCAATTCCCAACCATTTGTACATTGCCTAATTATGGATTGGTTCATTATTTGCCTCTTCTGTCACAAATACAGAATCCACTACAACAGAACTTGACATCTGTTTTAAATTGCTAACGCTATCCGAAGACCTGGAATTGTGCGACTTCACTAATGAATGGCATTACGTTTTCACGTATCTGGGTAATATCTGTAAGTAGTATTTAGTATATGATATTCTTCTGTAGATTAGCTTTCAACTGTTATGCATGTCTTTTACATGGAGCCTTCTCATCAGCTGTACAAAAGGGAAACAAGGCCACTTGAAAGAGTATAATGGGCCTATGGAGTAAAAGCTGTGTGCATGTGTGTGCGTGCGTGCGTGTGTGTGTGTGTATGTGTGTGTGTGTGTGTGTGTGCGGTGTGTGTGTTTGAGGACTCAGAGTATAAAGGCATCAATGAAAAGTGAATCTAAATGTGGTGGTCACTGTTTGGTATGTAGAGCCTCTGCTCTGCCACTGCCCTGTATGGACTGAGGGGGCATTTTTGTGCAACTTCCCAGGAAAAACACAATAGCTGCTTACGTGTATTTAGGAATAACCCATTCCTGCTTTTGCAAGCATGGGCTTCTGGGGCTTGAATCATGAAGTGGGGTTTTGGAGGGAGGTATCAATCTTGCATCTAAGTATCTGGTTCTGACATTTCAGAGTTCCTTGGGAATGCAGAAATAACACCATTCCTAAGGTGATGTTTTTTTGGTTTTGGTTTTGTTTTTTGTTTTTTTAATGAGAAATGCAAGAAAAAATGTACTCAGTAAAACCCACATCTGTAAAACCATGGAGGAGGAACCAGAAAACAAGTGACCTTAAGAGACGAAACTACAGAACTATGAATCTCACAGAGGGTTGAACCCATCAAAGATCAATATAACAGTCCTAGATCCTAAGATTAAATGAATGATGTTAATGCTCAGTCAGGTGACATGGCCCAGCAGATAAAGGTGCTTCCTGCCTAGACTGATGACCTGAATTCCATCCCTCTGACACACTAGGTAGAGGGAGAGAACCGACTCTTCGTGTGTTCTAGACCAGCCTGGTCTGCATAGCCAGTTGCAATACTGCATAGTGAGACTGTGTCTCAAAAGATCAAGGAGAGAAGAAAAAGGAAAACAAGCCTTTATTTTAAAAGAAATCTAAGTGCCGAATGATCATTACAGTCTCGTTTATAATTACTGAAAACCCAAATCAAATTGACATTCAAACAGGAGGAATGGCCTCACATACAGAAAACCCGATCTGCACCACTAAAGAGGTCTTAGTGATGGGGAGGAGGGGATGACCGCACTTCTACAGGGTATAAAACTGCCTTGAAGAAATGCCTGTGGTATTCCATTAAAGGGAATGGAGAAATCTATGTGACAACTATAAACACATCAAAACAGGTCATCACTGGGGCTGCAGAGACGGCACCACAGGTTCAGAGCCTGCACTGTTCTTGCCCAAGTTGAATTCCCAGCACCCTCATCACATGGCTCACCTGGAACCAGTTCCAGGGGATCTGCTGCAGTCTTCTGGTCACTGAGGGCACGGCACACACATACACAAACTTCCAACCCACACACATACACGTAATTTAAGTCAAACAGATGATAACCACACAGGTTTAATAAAAGGAGAACAGAGTCGTAGAGCTGGTCTTCTTTAAGGGAGTGATGCTAGGTGGCTGAAATGGTCCCAGTGGATGAACTCACACTGAAGTATATCTGGGAGCACAAACCTGACTATGAAGGCCTTAACACGTATGAAAGAACACATGAAATTTGGTGGTGGGCTGTAGGGGTGCAGTCAAGGGAGGAGGTCTAAATATGATGTAAGTAGTATTGTGTGAATTGCACAAAAATTCAATAAAAATAAACATCAAAAAGCAGAGTAGGAACAGGTCTCAGAAGAGAGACACTTTCTCACCTCTCTTTCTGCACCACTTCCCAGAGGCTACCGTCTCCAATCTGGAATTCATTATCATACCAAAATACACTAAAACATTAGTGGTGCTCATGGTGTACGTGACTTTCTTTGAGGGGCACGGGGAGAGAGCTAGCTGTGTCTTTTGGCAAAGTAGAGGATGTCTGTAAGGAACCAAATATTACTTCAAAATGAAAAATAATCCTTCAAAACTCCATAGTGCACACAAAAAAGGACACGAAAGAGGGGCCAGTGAGGAAGATGAAGGGTCAGCAGGAACAGAGGGGACAGGAGAGGGCGGTGGGGGTGACTGCGAGCATAGCACACTGTGTGCAGGAATCCACATGTAAAATTATAAAAATACAATGCACACTTTAAAAATTGTAATGAACTTAGACATATCCTTCAGAAGAAACCTTAAACTGTGGCACAGGGATGTCACGACGCCACATCCACAGCCACCAAGGATGAGCCACAACCTCTTAGGCTGAGGTGATTGACATGCTACAAGAGGAACAAAGGCAGTTCTCGCCCCACCCGCCCCCAAAGGAGACTGCGGCAATGGAGATATGGAGGATTGTGTTGCTGAATCAAGGCAGATCTCATGATTCTACAGTGGATACTGGGGTCAACCTTAAACGATGGGTTGACGAAAAAGGCAAGGCAATCAATTATATTAGCAACAGCTCACTCTTCTCAGGCACGGAATCTGGCTCTGGAATCCCAGTTGCGTGTGTCCCTGCAGACCACCATTTAAAGCAGCCATGGAAGATTTCAGTGCCTTCATGATGAGCTAAGAAAGATTTTTCTGGAATTTGAGGCTTAATCTTGAAATAGTGACAGACACATGCCTCGTATAGAAATAAGATCTTAATTGAAACTGGACATGCTGATGGTCCCAGAGGGAGAGAAGCAGAAATAATGCTTCGAAGGTATACTTTAATGAGAAATACACCCTAAAAAACCTATCAAATAACCTCTCCTTGATGAGCAATGGCTTTACGGTCTGCAAAAGTATTGTAAACAAGTGTTCTGTAAAGAAAGACTTTCAAGGTTCATGTCTCTAGAGAATGAAATAGCTAGAAGAGCACCATCTAAGAAAGTTCTCTGAACCTGTAACCACAGATGTTCCCACCTCATCTAATCTGGAGCTGGGAACACTCGTAGGAAGACGTCTGCAGACACATTAACACGAGACCTTCATAGAGGGAACCACAGAGACCTAACACCTGAGTTCATCCCTACACCATCACTTACAACCTGTGTCAAAACAGCTGACAACTTGGAGCTTCAACTTTGCTTTGTGTGTACAATGGGATGCACATCACCTCTAGACACCTGGACAAGCAATACTTGATGGATCAACAAGGCTAACATTGTATATATGTGAAGTACTCTGCAAACATACCACTAATGTTATCAGTTTTCTGAATTCATTAATCTAGGGTAAGACCTGGAAAATCTTTTCATACTGCAGATCTATCCAATATAGAAATGACACTGTATATTAACTCATCTATAAGAACTCAGGCTACAGACCATGAGTCTGGTACCCCACTGCCAATGATAACTATTTTATCATGATGTCCAAATTAAGGCTCTCCACCCCATGAACACTACTGAAAGAGGGTAAAATCTGTTACCTTCTCTCCTAAGTCACAAAAATACTGATCATAAGGTTTTGTCAAGGAGACTATTGATGCATATGTCTTGTACCATGTAACCATTCACTATTTCTGACCACACCCTGCTGATTTTCTAATCACCACAGTCTCATGGAGGGAGGCTGAGGGCTGTCTCAAATAAGGACATTAAAAGGTCTCTCTAATGGTTAACCCCAAGCGGGTTAAGAAAAGTGTGATCCCTGAGGGTTTCAACACTAACTGCCCTCAACTGGCATCTCTGGAGAATGGAACTGGTAGTGCTGAGTGAGGTGGGAGGGGTGGCTAAAACACTTCCCACAGAGCTGGCACTGGTAAGGAACATCATGAGCGTGAACCCGGCAGTGCTGGACAAGATAGGAGCTCTGACTGAAAGCTCGGCCACGGTCACAGCACTGGCAAGCTCTCTCCCCCACATAGCCATGCTTCCACTGATAACGAATGACATGTGTCCTATGGTGTATCGCAGGGGAAAGAGACTTTGTCAACTCATGGGCTCTGAGATGCTGAGAGAGATGCACCCGGTGGATGAAAGCTTTGCCACACTCAAGACATTCATAGAACTCAGCCTGACCCTTGTCACCCACCCAGGGGCTTTTACAAGCTGGGGGAAGGTTTCTTACCTACATTACACCCCTCAGGCCTCTCACCATAATGACTCCTGAGATGTCTGTTGAGGTGGGGCTTGAGGAAGAAGGCTGTGTCACAATGGGAACATTTAAAGGGCCGTATTCCTAAGTGGAATGACTCGTGCATCCTGAGGCCTGCTTGGGTCTTAAAGACTCTCTGACACACACTGCATCTGATGGGTTCCATCGGCTCAGGGCTGGCGCTGGTTCCAGGAGTCGAGGTTTCCAGGGGCTCCATTCCCTGAGGACTGGAGAGATCAGAGCGCTCCTCATCTTCCTCACCGCCAAGGCCTCCTTCCTCAGGGAAGGTCCCGGTGTCACTCTCTGTCACAGGACTGAGGACCTGCTCTTCCTGGTTGTCCTGCTGTGGTTCCAATGGATCGTCAGAAGATTCTCCTACAAAGACACAGCAGAAGTTACCTACTGGGAGACCATCCCTCCCTGTGCTATGGCTGGTTCTTCTACAGGGCACTCTGCTCTGGGGTCAGTTCTTGGCTTTCAGGGATCTTCTCCAGATACAGAAATACCATAAAGTCTCCTCATCTTCTTACTCAGAAACACACATCATTACGAGAAACAAATGGAAACTGACCCACATGACCTTTTGCAGGTTAAGGTCTGGAAACGAATGTAAAGAATAAAGATCACAAAAGAATGGGCAAGAAAATAAGCAACAAATTGTGCACAGAATCCATGTTGGGGCTCTATGCTGAAGAAAACACCACTGACACAGAACAGAATGAAGACCACAATGCACACGTCACCATTCACCAGCATTTCCAAAACCGTGCTCAGTCCATCACCCGTATGTGGAAAGTACAGTAGCTGTGACCCAAGGGGGGCTCTATTTTCTAGTCAGCTTAAGAAATACTATGCAATATGGGTCGGCCATGTGTACCTCATTCCCATAGGGCTTTCTGTGTCTTTGCTGTGCCCCTGCACCCCTAAAGAGGGAAGGCACGGATTGCAGCCCTTGTCAGGCATCCATCTGAGAACACCTGCTACCACAGTCCTGCAGGACCACTGAGGGACCAGGCAATGAGGATGTCAACCTCCCCCCGCTCAGAAGAAAGCAGCAG